TTGATATCTATGGCGGTAACTTGCATGCAAGTTTGGCCTTAAGTTCACTATGTAGTGACTGTTTTAACAAAAAAGTCCCTAGTTTTTATCATAATGCCTCCTGGAATGTGCAAAGCTCTTCCCTTGTGTCTAACCATCATTCATATAAATATTTTATTACCTTGATTGAAATGTTTCAGCAAATTTGGCTCAATTATAGCATTACATTTCCTAACTTTATTTTTTATCGTTTCAGCAGCTTAAGATGCAAAGAAGGAAATACTGGACTCTGCTTGCAAGATGGCTTGCAAAAGGCAAACTTTAAGGAAAAAGTGTGAAACCAAACTGCCAGGCAATGAATGCCAGCAGTGCCCACTGCTATGTATTGCTGCCTTCCTTCTAAAGTCTTCAATGCCATTATGTTTCCTCATGTCCTGTCATTCTCCTTAGATATGAATTTGACCTGCTATGTACTTGTCTTGCCTTTGAGAGATGCTAATGAAAATAGCATGTGAAATATTTTAATAACAAACTAGTTTAGATTTTAAAAAGCTACTGAAGCTTGATTTTTGAAAGAATGCGAAAGAATTAAATCAGGTGAGAAAAAAATATACAAACAGAACATAGACTAGATATTTTTTCTTAACCACCTTAAAATGCATCAGTAATGGGATGTGTGTGCGTGTAACAAAAAGGAAATGAAAATCCAACAAACCCCAGAACCAGAAACAGCGAGTGAAAGAACAGGTAAGTGAAATAAGAGCAGCCTAGGAAAGACAGATGAGGAACGAGTGGGTAACTTCAACAGATGGCACAGATCAAGAAGGGTTGGACACTGTAATCTGGATAAAGCAGAAGTGACAAGAAAATATGGGAAAAACAGGAATAAAAAAGAGCAACTGAAGTTCAGTAAAAGCAGGGGGTTTTGTTGGTGGTTTTAGTTTGGTGGGGTTTTTTTTTTGTGTCAAGTGAACAGTGAACAAGACCCCACAGTTATCCCTGCTCTGTATGCTTATTTCCCCTTACCACCTTTTTCAACATCCCAAAATTTCCCCTGTTCCAACACTCTGAATAAATTCCTGCCTAGAGCCACTAAGTTTCCAGGAGCTGAAATTATTCTTATTCCAGTTATTACCCAAATGCTATTTCAAGGTTGTCTGCGTTCTGAGCACATGCATATCCCCTAACTTCTTTATGGCTCTTGAAATAGAAAGACACATACACACCTCTACTGAAGGAGGAAAGGTGTAAAACAAGGAAAGATGAGTAAGGACTAAAACTCACATGCACCCATTTTACTTCCTAAAAAGCACCTTCAATTATCCTCAAGAAACACTACTGCTGAATAACATGATATTCACCTGCTCCCAATGCGTTAAACACTACAAATTCATACAACCATATGGTGAAGCAGACTGAGGATACATTTGGGTTAAAACAGATAGTGTTAAACCAGCTAGCAAATGCACAAAAATCCCCCCTTCAATAGAAAAAGTTATCCATGGTTAGTTTTAAGCAACCCTAGTTCCCTATATAACTATATAAGCAATAGTGACAGCACAGCAGAAAGGGCTAGACAACAAGAGGAGGAGAACGTCAGTATTATGGGAAGGAAGAGGGAGGGAAAAAAACCATTAGCTTATGCCTGCTTTGAAAGCATTTGTGGAACATCTGATGATTCAGGATTTGGCAATCTAATCTAAACTTTTATACTACACTATATTTTAAGGACAATTAATAGAATTCCTAAGGAACAGTAACCGTAACAGAACAAAAGAGTATGTTGAGAGCAAATGGGGAATGGATAGAAAAGTTAGTGTCTCTGATTTTGATTGTTAATTCACTGGACTACAGAAGATCCGAGATCTCCAGAAATGCAGTTTTGTTATGCCCTAAACCCTTCAGCACCCATACAAAGAGAGCAGACCATGCCAGTGACAGTTGTTTCATTATGGCTGGACAGGAATTAGTCATTACAGAAACGCTTTAAATTGTTTCACTTCTGTCTCTGAAACCTTAATGTTACAGGATCTCTTTGTCAACCTGAACAAATGGCTTGCTTAAAGATGCTACTGGAAGATTTATATCTGTTTGTGCATTTTCTAAACACATCTTTCAAAATACTTTAACTCTCATCACCGCTCATTGCTAGAGCAAGACTACAGCATCTGGTGTTCATTAAAGCCAGGAAATTCCTGGTTTGCTCTTTATGAAACTGTTGAGAGTTGATAATTGATTTTTTAATTCTCGCCTTTGCAAAGAGCTGTTTTATAAATTTCATATTTAACATATTTTAGTCAGCAATTTCTTTTAAATTCTGCATGTGCTAAATCAAGACATCATTCTTCTGCAGTTCAAAAAATTTCAGAAAATATTTATCAAATCTGAGTTGATGAATTACCATTATGATACTTAACATGCAGTATTTCACAGTCATCAATTTAAAAGTTGTTATCTATATAGCTCAGAAAAAAAAACCCTGATATAGCAACTTAAAGGGGGGCTACCAGAAAGCTGGAGAAGTACTTTCTCTAAGGGTATGTAGTGAAAGCATAAAGGGGTGAAATAAAAGAGGGTAGATTTAGGTTGTACAGGGTTTTGAGCAACCTGGTCTAGTGGAAAGTATTCCTGTCCATGGCAGGGGGGTTGGAACTAAGATCTTTAAGATCTCTTCCAACCCAAAGCATTCTATGATTCTGTGAACTTTCAGGTCACCTACTCTTAGTGTTTCAGCTTCACAGTAAGTTCCCTCCCCCAAGATTATAAAAAGATTCTAGGTCTTGAAGAGAATTTAAGGTTCAGCAAGGATTCGAAGATTATTATGCACACCTTGTCTGCAAATTTCAATACCTGTAAGTTTTAATTAGAAAGAAAATACCTACTCTGTCTTTATTGATTTAGTGTATTGTTGGGGTATAAGACTGTCCATCTGTAACTGCTTCTCCCTCACTGAATGACTGCTTATCAGGCACTCAGTTCCCAGCCCACAGGATGGGGGAAGATGTATGTTCCAAGTTCAAGTCCCCTGAGAGCTGGCCAATTATTTGTTGCAGGCTCTCCTCTTAATCACAGTATGACATTAAGTGAAGCTCGAGTATGTTAAACACTTAGGGTATTTTCCCTATGTAAACAGCTGCTGTAGCTGCAAAAGGAAAGTTACAGAATTGCAAACAATTGATACCATGTGTAAACAGCATTTATAAACTACACTTCATTTCTCAAGAAATAGGAACCTTTAAGTTAAGGGGTTCTTTGTACACATATTGTAATTTACTATCTTAGGTGTATACATACACAACTTCCCACAGCAAAGCTAGCCAGACAGTAAAAGGCTTAATTCTAGAGGCACTCTGCAGTCCACAGGCATTTGAAACATTTTCTTAATAGTACAGTATATTGTTAAAATGCCTAGTTTGCCTAGTTTCTTTTGGCATAAGGAGTTTCCAAGATAATCATTCCCACTGCAGATGCACTCAGTATGCCCAGCTGTATTGTGTTCTCTCCCCTCAATTTTTAGTTTTATTATCAGCTTATAATTTTCAGCTGTTTTATTTCCTCTGATATTCAAATTCATTCCATATGCTGATAAAGCTTCACCACAAATCTAACTTTATCTTCTTTTTGAAGTCACTAATAAAGAGGTTAAATTAATCTCATATAAAGATGCATCTCTAAGTACCAATCCAGAATCCCAACCAGCCACCTTTCTTAGCCCTCCGTTCATGGCCTTTCATCCACGCTTTTCATCTTCAGAACTAGGCTCATTTAAATTTGACCTAAAAGCAGTAGGTAGTACTTTATTTTTAATTTTATCCCCTCAAAAGAAAAAACAGCTCCTACCTCAATTTCCTCAGGAACATTAGCTATATCTCTATGTATAGCACCTCAGGCAGAAAGCATGTAGAACACTACAGGTAGAGCACAGGCCTGCAGAGAACTCGTCACTCTCATATTACTACAAACATTAGTTCCAAATATGAATATATACATACAACACCTGCATATTATTCCAGTCTGAATTCCTTACCCACTTCTCCCCTCTCAAGTGAGATTTTTTCCATGCAAGTGCAGAAAAAAAATAATCAGTTTGTACTTCAATACCATGTGGAGAAGTACCTCAAGGACTGAATATCACTTTACACCATAACAGTGTTATTAATCCTGCACCTTTCTAAAGAGATAATGTCTCTTCCCATGAGAACTTCACTTACAAAGGTTGTTTGCCCACATCTTGACCTATGCATTCTAAATATAATTTACAGAGAAATTATTTAAACTCCACTTTTTTTTTAATGTGTATCAGCCTGAACAGAAATACATGCAATGTTAAATATCCATCCCAATTTTATTTTTCCTGGAAAAGAGAAATTAAGTATTACCTTAATTCAGTCACAGTTATGATTCTTTACGAACAGAACTAGAAGGCTTATTTCCAAAGAGATGTTCTAGATTGTATACTTGGTTAATATTAATAGACTGTACTTCCAAAAGAAGCATAATTTAAAAAATCCCTCATAATACTGGCCATTCCTAAGAAACAGGTCTATTTATGTTTCTTAAAGAAACCAAAAAGCATGCAGACTGTCTCTGTCAGGTACACAATAAGTATGTATTGTTCTAACTGGGCTTGACCAACGCATATCTTTGTACTCTATATACAGTACTTTGCATTATATATAAAACCCCACAGAACTCATCTACAATGTTACCAGAATGACTTAGACAGCTGTAAAATAAATTGTTCAGATTAGATGCAGCATTATACAGAAGAAAGCACATATGCTAAAAGACAGTAACTAGAAGAGTATTGATAATAAAGTAATTGTAGAAGTGCAAGCTACTTACAGTGGGTTTGTATGTCAAATACCTATATAAAGCTGAGAACTTTAACAAGAAATTCTTATAAAAACAATAGACTGAAATGAAAATATTTCACGTGCCCAGTATTCATAGGGTGACTCCAATTATCTGGTTTCATTACTCTAACAAATAATGTCACCCCATAAAAATCAAAAAAATACCTTTTTTTGATTTTGCTCCAATCTTCAACTTTGATGGCCAAGCAATCTGTGTATTTGTTTCTTCCATAATCTGTTAAAAAGAAAACATATATGAGTAATTAAGTTTTTATTGTTTTCCTATGAAGTCAAAAGTTCATTTTTGGAAAAGATGATGTTAACCACTTTTAAATGTTGACTGTTATTACTTAAAAATAGAATAAGTCATTAACTACTTTCATGTTTTCTTGAGAAGAATTCTTGTCTGGTGATAGGTGGAGCTGAGTTCTGAGCATTCAAAACAAATCCAAAGAGCAAATCAAGATGCTCAACAGTTTCCATGAAGTTCAGATAACTGCTGCTAGCTACAGCATGCTCTAGGTCCACCTCAGAGGGCATTTCAAAGCTTTACAATTCAATAAAAATATTTGTTTTGTTATCCTAAAATGGCTTCTAAGTAAACACTACCTAATTTAAATCAAGGCCTTTTAAGTCTCCGTAAGTCAAGACACATGGGTTTGCCTTCAGAGGTTGTTTTTTTTTTTTTTGCCTCACCTTTACGTGCAAGCAACTTTTCATTGTAAGCCTATCCAGACTGGTTTAGCAGTTCAGAGTACAGATTTGACAGCATTTATTATGACACAGTGTGCAACCTATCTGTAAATCTCCAAGTATCCACCAGGGAAAAACTCAATATGCACATACATCTATACTTTGAAATCCATTTAGTCATTTGTCTCAAAGTAGACTGTTGCTGCCTTTGTTTTAGTGAATAAGCCCACTAGCCATTTTATACTAAAATTTAATACTGGCATAGAGTTAGAGTGCCCCACTAATACATTTAGTAGTAATACAGGAGAAGGAACTGAATGACACCAAAGAGTTCATACATATGAATTGAAATTCTATTTTAAGAAATGCTGGGCATGTCTACTGAGACTAAGAACTTCTCTTTTTATACTGAGATCTCATCAATAACTATGATGAGGTCATATCTCTCATCACACTTGAGATACAAGAGCATCTTATCATGTGTAAGAAGAGAAGATATCATCATGAGGACCTGAAGAAATGAGTAGGATCTGCCCATACTAGCCCATGACAAGATGGCTGTAGGATACCAAGAAAATGCATCTAGATGGTTTTAGGATACTGAGAGAACGAACATATTAAAAATCATGCTGGGCTGCAACAGACAAGGCATTTCTTAATAGAAATGTTGATAATCTTAACAGAAATGTTGATTATAGAAGGCCCTGATGAATTTTCATTTGGAACAAATTGTCCAGTTCTGTTCATACATGGACAAGATTTTGTACAGCAGAGCAAAAGGGTCCTCACTCCTTTGAAAATTTCAGTAGCTCACTATAAAAGAGATTAAAAGTGATCAGTTTCACTATCTCAATTAGAAAGTGTCCTAGAATGACACAAGTTTGGAAGGAAAGGTCCTTTGGAAGTCATACAAGCCCAACCTTATACTCACAGTGGGACCAAGTGCAAAGTTAGGTCAGGTTGCCCTGAGCCTTACCCATCAAGCTTTCATTACCTCTAAGGAAAGAGATTCCACAGCCCATCTGCACACTTATTCCAGTCTGTGGCCACCTTCACTAAGAAGTTATTTTCTCTTACCTTGTCAAGTTTTCCTTTGCTCAACCTTTGCCTGTTACCTGTACATTTCTAGGAGGAGCCTGACTCAGCCTACCTTCTAACCACCCATAGGGTAGCTGAAGACTGCTATCAGATGACTCTTTTACCTCAACCTCTCCAAGCTGAATGGACCCTGCTCTCAGCTTCTGTTTGTACATCAATTACTTCAGGCCCTTGATCAACCTGGTGATCATCCACTAGAGTCACTCTCACTTGTCAGGATCTTTCCTGGACTGAGTGGGACACAACTGGACAAAAGTACTCCATCTGCAGCCTCACAGTAACAGAGCAGACAGAAGTAACTATATCCATTGATCTGCTGGGTCATATTATTTTAGATACTGAATCTACATAAAAATACATACGGGAGTACTAAGTATTAAGGAGATTAATGCATATAACGAAACAAGTAAACAAGTGGTAACTGCGAATTTAGGCTTTAAATTAGAAAAAAAAAAAAACCACCACACTTCAATCAGACAAACTGAAAGAATATTACTGATACAAGTGAGAATTACCATACAAAAACCAGATGCTACCCCAAAAGGTCAACTCAATAAAACTGGGGAGGAGGTTAAGCAAAGCAGTGCGTTTTAATACCTCTAATAATCTGCAACAAGCATAAGCAATAACAAAAGAAATATTCCAATATAATTAGCAAAGACACTTCCAGGAAGAAAATGAATGCATTAGGAAAACAGTTACAGGCGTTACAATACCAGTAAGTTTCCCATAATAGTACAATTCAGATCTGAGGCAGACTTCTCTAACACTTATTAATGCTTATCTTCTATAGCCAAATCCCTAGGACATCACAACAACTCCCAAATTAGTACACCATGTAGAAAAACTGAAAGTGTCAGCTAGGCTTCATGATACTATATTTCTGGTTTCAGCAACTATTGGATAATAACTTACAGCTGAAATAAGACATTTCCAGGAGGGTGAAATTCTATCAGCAACATATACATACTTTCACAATTTTCCAATCCAGATGTGAAAAAAAAAAAAATCTGTTTCAAAAGAATTCACTTGTGTCTCACTGAGGTCTTTGGGTATAGGACTGAGATTAAGATCCAACAGGAAAGGAAACACAAGAGAGGAGACAGGAGTGAATGATCATTCAAGACAAGTGTTACATCCCATCGGTCTTTTACCTCTCAATATTGGATACTTCTGTCTTAAAGACATTAACTCCTGCATTTCTCATGCTAAACCAAACCAAAACTTCAGAGATTCACACATTCTGGGGACATACAATAAAAATACATATGAGGGTCTTCAAAGGAAAAGTAGTCTAACTGCCAGCCACTGAAACTGGGTCACCTAATATCCTTAAGATCTTCTGAGAGCCACATTGTGATTAGTAAAAAAAGCCCAACTTGGTTTGGTCACTACAAAGACAGGTTTATCTCCTGTCTTAGGCAGTTAGGAAGAAAAAAAAAAAAAAGTCTGGATGCATTTACATGAAACACATTTATTGAAGTACAAAAATGCTCACAGTATGTGCTGGGAGTTGGACTAGATGATCTCCAGAGGTCCCTTCCAACCCTAACAATTCCATGATTCTGTGAACTCCAGGCAGTAAACTTTAGGATAAATTCCAAGCTGATTGCAATAATCATTTTTTCCACAATTTTGAAAACCACATATTATATAGGAAAATAATAAAATAGGTTTTTGCTGCAGCACTTTTTTCACCAATGAAAATAATTTATCTTGCCTGTAAAACAATTTGAGAATTTTAACTGCCCAAAAAGGTTTCAAGGGAAAATAAATTCTGGTTTTATTTTTGAGAAATCAGGGCTTCCATAGGAAACCTTAAGAAGAGTTTAAACTATGTTGTTTATTTTTTAAGCTGTTTATGTATTTATTGTAACAGTAGGAGTGTCACAAAGCTCTAGAAAACAGGAAACTGAGTTTTTACTATAGCTGTTAAACTTGAAGGAAAACATGATGTTGAAAACTGTGTGACAGAAACCCTGCATAGAGTAGATCACTGCTGCATCAACTTTCAGTTCTGCTTTACTATTCTAACCCAGGCAGTTTTAAGTGCCAGGATTTCCTTCCCTCTCTCCCCACCCCCCACCCCCCAAAACCAAATTTGGATCATTCCATAAAACCTTAACTGCATGTTGCAATTGAACAATTTTAATAGTGAAAACTTAGTGTTATGCCACATACCCTGAAAACAGCAGTGCTGTTCCCAAATGAACAAAATGGAAAACAGAACTCACTTTACAAGTAATACAGATATAATACACACACTTTAATTGTATTGATACTTCAGTTACAATACATTTTGAGGAAATGCGGATGACTGAATTAGAGTTCATGATCTCTGTGGAAGCACCTCTGTTTAGGTTTCCCTTCTTTTCATAGAGTGGTGGGGTTCATACTAATCAGTACTCTCCCTGCCTTGAGGGATCAACTGACCAAAAGTAGCAGGCATATTTGGCAGCAAGACTTAATCCCATAGTAAATCAACTCATGCTTCTCAAAATGAGGGAAACCCTAAGAAATGAGCTATTTACATCTTCCCTTCCTCCCCTTTCCCCAAGAGAAACTGTAGTATTCATGCAGCCAAAATATGTAAGCTATTCTCAGTGGAGAACATAGAGAAGATGACAAGATACTGGAAGATACCAACAAAACAAATAAGACTGTGCTCTGATCCTCAAAAAACTGGCTCAAGTTGCAGATCATTGGGCCTTCAAGAAGGTGGCACAAACAAACAAAAAAGCTGGAAGAAAAGTTTTTGGCTTCCTTGTATTCCAGCTTGAAAAAAAAAGACTATAGTTCAGGCACTTTGGGGAGGTTTTATATCAAGATAGTAAGGTATTATTTTTTCATACATCGTAATTTTTGTTAAGATGATTCTGGATGGAAACTGGAATGCCTTGAATGCAAAAAAACAACCAATAAAAACTCCCCAAAAGCCCATGAGCATTTCAGAATTCAAAGGAAGTATTTTACAATAAATTTTACAGTAAAAAAAGAGCAACATACCAAACAGCCCTTTCTCCATTTAAAACAAGCACTTTAAAGTAGTATTACTTATAGTTAGCGGTTTTATGTATTTCTGATCTTCCCACCTTTGGGATTCATCCATCTTGGCCATTTCTGTCTCAGTTCTTATTCAGAGTGAAAAGAATAATGGGAGAGGAACCTGCATCTACCAGTATGTTTCTACAATTAGCTTTCACAACTTCAGCTCAACAACAAGCTCATTCCAACTGAATGACAAAATAACTGTCAGAAAAAGCCAATTTGTTATTTGATCAATGGAACACCCCTCTCAGTGTCGAGAATTAGCTTCCTCAGTTTAACCTTAATACAACAGAACACACATATACCACTTCAACATGTAGAGTACCGAGACAATAAGCTTAAACATTAAAAAAACTTGTAGACACATTTAAATGATATTTTTAGATGTTTATCTTA